TTATTTAACAGGGAGTTTGTGAAGTCAATGCACTCAAACCCCTCGTCTTATTTGGTTCATTAAATGCATTGTCATATCATTGAGTTTTTCTGGGCATAAATATGTTGAATAAATAGGCATTAATCATATAAATAGAGAAAATATTTCCTTCTCAACAAATTTCTGCCCTCTTTTTTGTTGCAAAAATATTTGCTAAAAACGATACAAATATTTAATTTTTAAAATATTATGCATTTGCTATTTGTTGTTATAATAATAAGTGAAAGAACTTTTTCAAATTGCTTTATACAGTATTGTGAATGAAATTGCAATAAAACATAATTATATTTTATTTTGAAATCACAATTGGGTTAAGAGTAAGCGTTTTAAACATTGAGAACATGTTTTAAGTTTAGGCAAAACCTATGAAACTGTTTACCATTTAAATATCCCAAACACTCTCTAATCATAAATAATTTATACATTTATTTTTTCTGTGTCGAAAGACATGTTTTTCATGAAATGAGAGATTCAAATGTGTATATTATATAAATGCAAACATAAAATGTCGATTTAATTCAATACACAACAGAAACTAATATTGTTTATCACAAGGTTTTGCAAAAACAAATCTATCATATCATTCATAAAGACATTATTATACAACAATTCATTTGTAAAATGTTAACAATAATATTATTTTTAAATTTCATTAAATAATATTTATATATTTAATGCAATGTTAGTGAATCAGAAGGAGAAATTCAAGTTTTGAAATCACCGGGGTATTCATGGTATTCTCGCACAATTACCTCGTATTTCAAAACAACTAAAAAGTATTTTTCTATTCTAGCCTTGAAAACGACACCCAATTTGAGAGTATTTTTCCAAAATATATTAAATACTGGTTTTTATTGAAAACAAAACACATTGAAAGCATACAAAACCATAAAATTGCTGAAATATTATACATTTGCGCTGATATTATCTGTTACTAAACCTAAAATTAATATTGTATATAATATACAGACTATTTTGAATATGTTTTTGGTGTTTTCAAAATATGTTTCATTAAATGCTCGAATAACAATCTCATTGTAAATAAATGTTGCAAATTATAACAGAATTCAAGTTTATTTAGTTTGAAAACCCAATGCATATGTCTTTATGTCTATAAATAGGTAAAAACAGCATTAGGTTTGAGACGAAAACAAATATTAAATTGTTTTTACCATAATGTATTCCTAATAATTTGTCGATTTCTGTTTAAAAGGAAAAATATTTTATTTTTTGATATCAAACAAATATTCTACACGTTTTGCTTTTAAAAACAATCCACTCAATAGACAACATATAATGACATTTTTCAAGGCTTTGTCAAAATAGGAATTAATTATAATAACATATAAACTGAATATTACTATTTATTTTTTTAATTTAAAAAATTTAATTAAATTTGAAATGATATATGCAATGAAAAAAGTTTTATAAGTTTTGAATAATAATTGCAAGTAATTATGTTATACAATAAACAATAAGAAACCCATTAAATCTCATAATTGAGTTTGAATTCAATGCAAAATAAAACTTAAATAGTAATTACAAGTTTGCATTTTTACTTTTATTTAAAAAATAAATTATTTATCTCTTGAATTACAATATGAAGCAATCATTAAATTGTATTTCAATGTACTTATAGATTAAACCAATGTTTAATCAGAAATAAATGGTAATTGAAATCAATTAGTTTTTTGTTGATGTTATTTCAAAACTCTAATAAAGAGTACACTTTTGGTAAATATGATAATGATTTCAAAACTCTCATCATTTGATAAAATACATTATTATTTACAATATATGACAGAAAAATATAAACTAAAACCAAACTAAACTAGTAGTATATCAATGGTTTTTGTGAAACTAAACTAGATTGTAAATAAAAGCTCATAATCTATAAATAAGAGATAATTTTTATTATAGTTTGTTATTTTATTATCAGAAATGCTAAGAAATGTTAAGAAATTAAGTTTTTATTTCACTTAACAATGCATTTGAGAAGAAAATGGGAGTCAATATAAAATATATTGTTTATTTAAAGCTAAAACACATACTGTTTATAAGCGATCATTCATTCACTGAATGTTAAAAATATACTGATTTTGTGTGAAAAAGATTTAAAAATAGTTGTGTTTAAAGCCCTGAAAGCCTTCGGCTTAAAATATAAACCAAATTCTTGTCGCTAATCACTGTCTCTGTCTCTCATCCTATGATGTAAATTATAAAACCAATATTTAAATACATAAATATATTTTAAAAATTAAATAAAATTATGGTTATTATGCAAAACCAGGAATTAAAAAAATTTGCACAATATTTTCCTAACTTTAATAAATAACAGATTTGGCCATAAATTAAAGACATTTGAAAACAACGAAACGCTGTATAATATTAGCGATATTCTGAGCGAACATGTGATCAAAATGTGGGCACAAAAAGCAAAAAGTTATTTATAAGAAAAGTTGTATAACTCGACAGAGAAAATGCCTATTCGTCTGAACGGCTCATATAAGCATCAAATCACTCGTACGAGTCGTGATTGCCATAAATCTGGTGTTGTTTTACGCAAAACCAATACTCAATTGAATGACTGTTTAAAGTCCTAAATGAATATACAATATATTTTCAATCATTAGATAACTGTTTTTTTATTTGTTAGTATTTTCCGATCGATTAGAAATATATGCCATAAAGTTGTCAAAATGCAATGCAAATCAAAAAATTAACATTTAAATCGGCAAATATTTAACCATATTTTACTGATTAATGCAATTCATTGACGTTTCAAATAAACAATTCATTAAACCAAATATATATTTGCAATTTAATCCCATTTTATTTTATGACACTATTATGTAATTTAATACGAATTGTTTGGATATTTTAATCGGAGAATCAATTGAAACAATAGTTTCGTGTATTTTTTGGTGTCATTTATTTTGAGATGCGTTTAAAAAGGAAGAGATTTTTGCTGATCTGGGACTGAATGTAAAGGCAATTGAACTCATATTATGATTAAGAATAGACTTTTGAATTGAGAAACACTTTATTTTCTGATCAAAGATAAGTGAGAGACGACTGAACGACGAGATTATAATACATACATTTGTATGAGAAAAGTGTGCCTCAGAATGTATATAAGTTAATACATATTATGTATACATGTATATAATTTAATTGCCTATTATGTCATGTAAATAAACAATATTTTTTGTGAAGCATTTCCAACAAATCCTTAATTTATTAAGACTAGTAAAACAGTAGTTAAAAATCATAATAAATATAATGCAAACTTAATTTAACTTAATGTACATTATAATCAGCTCGTATAATTAAATAAAACTAAAATATAGCACTTTATATAATTAAAAATAGCTTTAAAATAATAACATTAAAATTGTCGAAATTGTTAATACAATTGTCAAAAATACTTTTCAATACCACACAAAATAAAATGCTTATAAATACAAGAAACCAATGATTTATTACAGCGTTTTGCAAAATTCCTATTTATAATTTCAAAAATTTTGTTCAAAACAAAGTTTTTTGGCAAATATTGTCTGAAAGGAAATCCCTATTAGAAAACAATCCTAAAGTATAATACATAATAATTGTTTGCAACAAAAAACATGTTTTTATATTGAAATTCAAAGTAATCTTCACTTTTCATTCATATACCGATAAATTGAGAATAAGTTTCAGGAAGTGATTGAATAACACGAAAAATAATCGCCAACTTTTGCTAAAGTCATACATTTTGCAAGTTTTGTACTACTTTTGCACATATCTATAGATAGCGACACCTTTTGCTTTACAATATTAATGTTTAAAAACTTACTACATTCATACAAGTATAATAATAAAGAATATTCTTGTACTAATCATGTTTATACAATTAGTTTAATAAATTACATTTGTGCTTTTTATTTAATTTATTAATACTTATATTTTAATTACAGACTACTGTTTTCAAACTAATTATAAATTTAGATTAGTATTTAATATACAGTACAATAATCAACAGTAAAATAATTTTTACAGTAAATGCAAGTAAATAACCATTTTATTAGTTTCTAATCATTTATTAAATTTTTTCAATACATTTCTATTACAAAATAAATGGATTTTATTCTTTCAATTAACCCTTTGTTACAAATGGGATGGAAATGATTAGAAAAGAGGCCACTATTTGGTTAACGTATTCTTGGGAAGTGATAAAAGCCTGGCGTTGTAATCGTTAACAGTTTGCGATTTGTTGGCGGCTTTGAATACAATAACCAAATTGTGTCCATATGTGTAGCCAATGGCCGATCCCTTGACTCCACTAAAAGTGGTGCCGAAGTCGTGGCCGACAATGCAATGCCAGGTCACGCCTTGAAGACGATTCATCTCACGCTCGATATAAGCGGACACTTCGTTCAAGTCCTGGCTTTTGGCGAACCCCTCGGCGACCACTTTAGCCACACATTCCTTCAGCTCTTTGGACGCGTTTTGACACCACTTTTTGAAACCGTTTTCACTGTTCGTGTCTTTCGGCGACACCTTTTCAATCACTTCCTGATGACTGTCGTCCGGCTTCTCCTCTATAGACATATTCTGTTCGTCCGATTTCTTCACCTCTGCCTCTGTTTCTGACATGATTTCAGAGTTTTTGAGATAATTTTCTTATGAATTTAACGGTAAATTGATTTTTGAATTATATTTATTATTGCATAAGTTTTAAACTATAACCGAATTTATCAACGATTAATAATAATTAACATAAATCTCGCGATAGATAACAAATCACAAGAGAGATAACAATTATATCATAATCAGTGAATCACTGTTTGTATAACAATTGAATATAAATTAGCCGTTAATTCAAATTCTCATCACTTAATCGTTTGAAATAAAAGCCATTATCTTCTGTCAAAACTAAATCTTAAAGTCATTCAAACGATAACTAATTGTAATTTTTAAAAATGACATCAAATTCAGAGAAGATATACAAATCATCGGACGACGACAGCGGCGCTGATCCCAAACCAAAACCCGATCCCAAATCGTTCTCACAGAAGGACATTGAGATGTCCAAGAAGTTTGTGCCCCAACCCGGGGGTGCCTTCACTGACGCCAACGTCCGAAGCGATTTCGTGAAGAAAGTGTACGCAATCCTAAGCGCTCAGATCGCGGTCACCGCTGTCATCGCACTTCTTGTGCTCACTTTGTAATTGATCCAAACAGTTGCCACTCTTAAGCATCAATTGATAATTATTTGTGATTTTCATTCATAGCCTAAAAGACAAGGTCAATTTCAAGCAATTGAATGCAGACAATGACCGCAATGGTTACATTATTGTACTCATTGTGATGGTTGTATCGTAAGTGAAAACAACTTCTAAAATCAAATTAAGTAATTGTATGTGAATTTCAATGGGAAATAGGATTGCGGTGACCATCGCTGTCATGTGTACCTTCTGTTTCTCAAAAACCGCCAGAAGAGCCGTTCCCTTGAATTACATCCTTTTGATTGTATTTGTGAGTAAAAAGTTTTTTACAAATAAATCAATTCAATGACACAATTGTAACCAAAAATGTAAATTATCTGCCAATAGACGATCGCACAGACGGCTCTGGTCAGCATCATATGTTGCCAATACGGCGGCACATCCATTATCATAGCCTTTGTCGCCACCGGTGTTGTCGTGGTGTCCATTACACTACTGGCGATGACTCCTTTCGTATGATAACACTTATTACATGATTAGTAATCATTGATTAACTTTTAATGTATTGTTTTATCTAATAATTTGTGGCCCAGTTTGACATCACTCACTGCGGATGTGTTTTATTCATATTGACTATCATTCACGGGTTTGTCCTATTGATTGGCTTTTTACTCGTCTGGCTATTGAATCTGGATGTGAGGACGTGGGAGATAGTGGTCGGAACTCTCGGCGCTTTCCTCTTCTCTCTGGTAATCATTAATTGACAGATAACTTTCAATTATTACTTATATTAACCATCATTTGCTGTCATTTCCAGTGGCTTTTATACGACACCCAAATCATTCTCGGCGGCAAGAAATACGAGTTGAGTCCCGAAGAGTATATCTTCGGCGCCATTAGTCTCTATATCGATATCATTCAGATTTTCTTAAGTATTCTTCAAATTGTTGGCCATTAAATGTGTTCACAATCTTTTACAATACCTTTAGTTCAATATTAAATTTAAATTTTATTGTTTGATTTCAATTGACTCTTAAAATTCTGACTTTTAATAAAACATTTGATTTTTAATTTCTGACACGAATTGGCAATACTTTGATCCTATTATCTATATTTGACATGATTTTTATCATTAACTGATTTATTGTTTGAAATTATTTCACAATTTATTTGATAACAAAAACCCAATTTCCAGACAAATTGGGAAATGAAAAGTGAATTACAAAACGAAATACAGTTTAAGAAATAAATCAAATGATACTACACATATGGACACAATTTGGTTATTGTATTCAAAGCCGCCAACAAATCGCAAACTGTTAACGATTACAACGCCAGGCTTTTATCACTTCCCAAGAATACGTTAACCAAATAGTGGCCTCTTTTCCAATCATTTCCATCCCATTTGTAACAAAGGGTTAATTGAAAGAATAAAATCCATTTATTTTGTAATAGAAATGTATTGAAAAAATTTAATAAATGGTTAGAAACTAATAAAACGGTTATTTACTTGCATTTACTGTAAAAATTATTTTACTGTTGATTATTATACTGTATATTAAATACTAATCTATATCTATAATTAGTTTGTAAACAGTAGTCTGTAATTAAAATATTAATTAAAATATTAATAAATTAAATAAAAAGCATAAATGTAATTTATTAAACTAATTGTATAAACATGATTAGTACAAGAATATTCTTCATTATTATACTTGTATGAATGTAAAACAAGTTTATAAACATTAATATTGTAAACCAAAAGGTGTCGCTATCTATAGATATGTGCAAAAGTAGTACAAAACGTGCAAAATGTATGACTTTAGCAAAAGTTGGCGATTATTTTTCGTGTTATTCAATCACTTCCTGAAACTTATTCTCAATTTATCGGTATATGAATTAAAAGTGAAGATTACTTTGAATTTCAATATAAAAACATGTTTTTTTTGTTGCAAACAATTATTATGTATTATACTTTAGGATTGTTTTCTAACAGGGATTTCCTTTCAAACAATATTTGCCAAAAACTTTGTTTTGAACAAAATTTTTGAAATTATAAATAGGAATTTTGCAAAACGCTGTAATAAATCATTGGTTTCTTGTATTTATAAGCATTTTATTTTGTGTGGTATTGAAAAGTATTTTTGACAATTGTGTTAACAATTTCGACAATTTTAATGTTATTATTTTAAAGCTATTTTTAATTATATAAAGTGCTATATTTTAGTTTTATTTAATTATACGAGCTGATTATAATGTATAATACATTAAATTAAGTTTGCATTATATTTATTATGATTTTTAACTACTGTTTTCCTAGTCTTAATAAATTAAGCTTTTGTTGGAAATGCTTCACAAAAATATTGTTTATTTACATGACTAATAGGCAATTAGATAATATACATGTATACATAATATGTATTATACACATTCTGAGGCACACTTTTCTCATACAAATGTATGTACAGTATTATAATCTCGCCGTTCAGTCGTCTCTCACTTATCTTTGATCAGAAAATAAAGTGTTTCTCAATTGAAAAGTCTATTCTTAATCGTAATATGAGTTCAATTGCCTTTACATTCAGTCCCAGATCAGCAAAAATCTCTTCCTTTTTAAACGCATCTCAAAATAAATGACACCAAAAAAATACAAGAAACTATTGTTTCAATCGATTCTCCGATTAAAATATACAAACAATTCGTATTAAATTACATAATAGTGTTACAAAATAAAATGAGATTAAATTGCAATTTGCAAAAATACATTTGTTTAATGAATTGTTTATTTGAAACGTCAATGAATTGCATTAATCGGTAAAATATGGTTAAATATTTGCCGATTTAAATGCTAATAATTTGATTTGCATTGCATTTTGACAACTCTATGGCATATATTTCTAATCGATCGGAAAATACTAACAAATAAAAAAAACAGTTATCTAATGATTGAAAATATATTGTATATTCATTTAGGACTTTAAACAGTCATTCAAAGTATTGGTTTTGTGTAAAACAACACCAGATTTATGGCAATCACGACTCGTACGAGTGATTTGTTGCTTATATGAGCCGTTCAGACGAATAGGCATTTTCTCTGTCGAGTTATACAACTTTTCTTATAAATAACTTTTTGCTTTTTGTGCCCACATTTTGATCACATGTTCGCTCAGAATATCGCAAATATTATACAGCGTTTCGTTGTTTTC